ATCTAAAAATGTGTACATGGTATACCTATTTCTACCATGAAGTGTCTTTTGACACATTAAGGATTTCATAACAATGTCTAATTTTAAACCATTTTACATATAAATATTAACACCATTTTGTAGCATCATATCATTTATAATCAGAGGGATCTGGAACAGGCCCAACATAAGGTCCAAAGGCAAAAATCCACCTTTTTACCGTTATATCTCAACCCTCAAGACGGTTGGGCCTGTTCTAGGTCGATTACCATCATGAGACATGACTTAATCGAAAGCAAATTTAAAAAGGAATAAAATAAAAAAAAAAACAAAAAAAATCGAAGGTAGCGTACTTTGCGAAATTTCGATTTTAAACTTTAAAATCTCAAAATAAGGGTGAAAACTACTCCCTAAAATTTTATAAATATTTTTTTCAGATTCTACGGGAAAAATGCTATAAAGTTACAATGGTTTCAGATTTTTTTTATTGGCACGACGACGACGACGAGAATTAAGAAACTGGTAGTCGAAGCAAAAATTCGAATTTTATGACAGCCATAGAAGTTCATGGTGTGGGTCAAAAAATCCGAAAAAATTCGACAAATGTTTTCTAAAATAGTACTACCGATTGCCATAGGTTTCGATCAAATCTAATTTTTGAGCGTACCCCTTTCACATGAAATGACCCATATATATATATATAATAAGTCATATATATAATGCTGCTGTCTACATTTTTATGACAGAATCAATTAAATCGAACAATTTGTTGAGCAACAACATAAGAAATAAATATTTTCAAAATTTGAGCCAGTTACCTCATTCTTACGGTATCTCATGACTGAGCACTCATGAGGTTCAATTTCCACCAGAACTGAAAATTGATATCTAAAAAAATCCTATTATTATTCATCAATTAGTTTGATCCGAGTTTGGTGAAAATTCCTCCTCGAAGTACGGCGTATATGCACAATTGTTGTTTGCAACATGACTGCCCGAAGTCGCAACGGATGTGCACAGGTCAAACGAGCTGACACCGAAACCGCATTTGAATGCATTTAACAGATCAATTAATCTGCTCCACTCTGATTACGTAAACGAACGCCTGTCCTCCAAGAAACGCACGCCGCAAATACGCGCTGTATGTAAAGCATGCGATACGTCTCTTCCGCGAAAAACGTGCGCGTGCTCGTAAGACGTTCGTTATGATCGGCAAAACGATCCTCTTTATTTCACGCGTCAGTGATTATATGCGATTCTCGTGACACGTCGTGTGATATAATTGTTATGATGATGAAAGAGGAGGAATGGGTTTTTTCTTACGAGAAACATATCATAAAAGTTAAAATTTCATCTATTTTCATTTATTTCTATTTATTAATTACCGGCGCTCATGCTTAATTGTTGTAATCGCATAGTTTCCACAATTTATATTAATTATGAGCGGGTTTAATAATAATTATGGACGGCTTATACAACTAAGTACGCGGATACAATGTGTTAATATAATGTGTCAATACGAAATGCGCAAAACTAATTGAAGCGTCACGTGTGGCAATTCTCTGGCGATTCCAAGTGCATTGAAAATAATTATTATCAAAATTCAAAATTCATATTTTTTAAACATATACGTAAAGATATATAATCTTATATGAAGATAAAACTTAACTTTTCCATAAAGAAATTCTATACATTCTGTTAAATAAATACCGGGAATTGTTCATTTCAAAAGCCTGCGTAAAAGGTATAAAGACAAATTTTTGCTGTAAGTTGGTACTAGTGTACTTAATCATCATGTAGAGTTTTGGCGCCATCTGTCAACCAGTTTGTTTACAGCTGTTGGTTTTGTTAGTCGACCTCAAGTACACTCTGTGATTTTTAACACATTGTTGATCGGTCACGAGTTAACTCGTGTCTTCCTACTCAAACGTTTTGGCCCGCCACGAGTAAACTCGTGATCGATGCGCTTTTGTTTCGCATCGATCACGAGTTAGGTCAGTACGTTCTCGGAGATCATACAATGTAATTGTTGTTCAGCATACCACAAGCTGCGTATTTCGCTAATAAAACCCGTCAAGTTGTGTCCCCTTTGAAATAAAAAAAAATTGTAATAAATTCTAAGTAAAATTGCCGGTCAACAAAGTGTCAAAAAAGTACTAGGAACTTTGGTTTAAAATTGATTTTTAAATAAAAATGTTATGATAATTATTAAAAAACAATTTTTTTAATAATATCTGAAATGCATCCTATTTTACAATTTTTAAAAAATTTGTAACAATTTATTATCAAGTAAAAAAAGTTACGATAATTATTAAAAAACATAATTTTTTTTCAATACTACCTAAAATGCGCCCTATTTTACAATTTCTGAAAGTTTGACAAACATTGCTTCATCAATAAAAATGTTATGACGATTTTAGTAACGTGCAAGTTTGCCCAAAAACGTGCGGTCCCAGGCATACGAGGTGTGTTCAAAAAATAACGGGAATTTTCGTTTTTTGAAAAAAATATTTATTTATTCGTCTACATTAATGTTGTCGCCTTCAAAATAGTCCCCATTAGATATTATGCACTTGTGCCAGTGCTTCTTCCAATCCTCGAAACACTTCTCAAACTCGATTTTTGGGATAGCCTTTAGCTCTTTCAGCGATGCGCTTTTAATGTCATCTATGCTTGTAAAACGACGGCCCGTTAAGGTTCTTTTTATTTTTGGAAATAGGAAAAAGTCACACGGAGCCATGTCTGGCGAATATGGAGGCTGGGGCCATCGTTACAGTATTGTTTTTGGCCAAAAATTCACGAACAAGCACGAACAAATTTTGCTGCCACGCGTTTCATACCCAAAACATTCGAAAAAATTTCATGGCATGAGCCAATCGATATGCCAACATCATCA